TTTTCTTCTGGTTTAAGGACTCCTCCATAATAATTGGAGTATTCCTTTGCTTCATCTATTGTATTTATATCATCTTTTTTGAATGCCATAATTTTAATTCCTATATTATTATATTTTAATATTAAAAGATTAAATATAAAGAAGTTAATATAACAAACAAAACTAATAAAGTAATAAAATTTGCGGTTGACCGGAATATTTTTATTCATTATCGGTATAGATTGGTTTGGGACAAGCAATATCCTTGATTTCTTCTCTAATACTAACAAATGGGCGGGTATTATGGTAAAGATATTCTTGCCTTTTATAATCCAAAGGAGGTGGCGTTAAAATTAAAATAGAAAAAGATTTAAGTTTTTTGATAATTTCGGAAACACTTGCTTTTCTAGTCTTTAACAAATTAAATTCAGTATACGAACCATTAGCAACCAGCTGAGCTTTGACAATACCAGGTGTGGCTGCTTCGAATACAAAATGTTGATATTTTTGTAAGCCACTCAATTTTTTAAAGAAAATTCTTCACGGCGGTAGCAATGGTTATATCAATGGTTATCTTGGTTTTCCATCGCGGTATTCGTTTCATACCATTCGTTGCCAGATGATTCTGACGTTTTCAAAGTGAGTGCGACCAATCCCTAACATATTAAGATACTTTTTCTGACAAAGCGGCGTATTGCGATCTCAGTAATAAAACGTTCGCTTATTAGTACGCGTTTTCTTTTTAAGACGTCGGCTGGCAGTTATTTCCCCACCATTCATCGCTTTCAGCTGGCCATTAAAAATATATCTTGCTCGGATCTAGAGAGAGCTTGAAACGCCTCACGTAATTCAGCAAACTTTTCTCTCGGAATCATTTTTGAGCAACCGCAATTGCAACCTCTCTCCAAGAAACACATGGCTTTTTCATATTCGGTGGAATCGTTATAATTAGAATTTTTCATATACAGGTATTCCTATATATATTTTTTATGCTTCAATGGTTTGTTTACTTATGGATGTCATTATTAGTAATCATCATTATATATTCACTTGAAAGCAATGTCATATTTCTATAACCCTCCAACTTGACTCTGAAAAGATTCATACATAAAATAGCAATGATTTTTGGTTTCATTTTTATTAGCAAAAAATTTTTAACTGAGATTATTGTTATGTACAATCAGTTCATCTTTTATGACTAAAACTACCAGATCTATTCATGAATTAAGCGCTCATTCAAACTCATCATGTTAACATATACATTTCATCTTACTTAACAGTAGAGGAGTATTGTCATCTATCAAGAATACCACCCCCCCCCCCCAAGCAACTCCAATATGCAATGGTGATGTCAGGGTCAAAAATAATAACACTAATTATGAGGCTGCTCAGTTTTGTCTATCATTGGGAAAGAGTTCTGGGTCATCACCACGTAGTCTTATTGTCTCATCCGTTTTGTCTTTACGCATTATGGTTATGATACTGTAGTCATTTGCATAAAGCGCATACCAGATGTTGTCCTCCATGGTTTGGCAGTTAGGTATCAGAGAATTGTGGCGAAAGTCGATTATGGCCCAAGCAGTGAGGGGAATATTCTCGTATGTGCCCTTGGGCTTGAAACGGTTAATGTGCTGACTCATCCTTTCGCCTTCCCGCATTAGTTCCACACCCCAATTAAGGCCACCATTAATATAAAAATTCAAGAACCCTGACGAACGAAATACTGCACCTACATCAGGACTAATGGTATGACCAGAGGGCACAGCAGTGCTCGCAGCCATTGTCCACTCTTTCTGCCATGCTCTCTCTAAGAGCCGCGAGTTCTTATCCAGTCCGTGGCTCAGAGAACTGCATAACTCCGATGGTCGCATGCGCTCAATACTGAGACGCAAAAACTGTTCAAAATTATTTCCAGAGGGAGCAAGACCTAGACGATGGGTGTACAGGCGTTTCCCCATGATTATTCGGATAAGCGGTGCAGCGTACTGCAAGCGAGACCGGCCAGCGTAAGTGACTAAACCTGAACGCATAAAATCCATGAGAGTGTTTTGCATATCTGGGTCACTTATATCTACAATAAAGGTCGAGTCAGTGTCAATGTTATTGTATGCAGCTCTTAGGAACTCGAATTCCATAGGATTTGGATTCCATTTGCTGCCCAGCCAATTGAATACGCGTGACCTTTGTATGTCGCAAAAATACTCATATTAAACCAAAGAACGAAGCATGTCGTTGTCTCTAACTTTGCGCATATATTCGTCTCGTAAAAATTCCAGGGTGTGTCTGACTAGATGTGGATGTCCGAAGGTCGAATCAAAGATAGCTTGGCGTACAGTATCAGTAATAGAGAGGTCACAGTCATACTCACTGAGAGCATATTCGAGATAATTGTCTACAACTTCTTTGAATTCCGGTACTGTCAAACGCAAGTCTTCTAGCCCCAGTGCATCAATAAAGTCGATCGGTGTCTTGGAGCGTTGATTGTAACGATCTTCGTACATGCTTAAGAGCAGCACGCGTAGATTGCTATTAGGATGGTCGATGAGGCCCTTTAAATCATCCCAGAAAGTAGATGCACCGGCATAGAGGGTCTGCGCTTCGTCGATGATAACAGTTGTTGGACTTGTGCATGCTTTACAGTCCTCCCATTTGATACTGGAGTGTTGTATCCAGAATTGGTCAAAGACATTTCTATCGTATAGTAGATTGGGATACTGCTTTTCATTCCAGAGAGCCAGCGAGATTAATATAACCGTATAACCTTGCCTCTCAAGATATAATTTAAGCTTCCTGGCCAATGTCGTCTTGCCTGAAGCAGGCGGACTGCGCAGAAGATTGATAGGGTGCCTATGCCATTTCGCATCGATTTCAGCTAGTCGATCGTCTGAAATTACAATAAGCTTGCTTGAAGAGTCCTCATGTGCACGCTTGGTGCCTCGAAACACTAAAATTGATAAAAGCAAGAAGAATCAGGGCGAATGGACACAATATTAATGAGAAATAAAAACAAAGTTAGAGTGATCAAGTAAATTTCATCGTATCAACTCCAGTTAGGCAGTATAGAAAACTACATTACTATGTCCCGATTCTACCCTACGTACACACTACTCTGTCCCCAACGCCCGAGTCACAAAGTCATTACCTGGTTGAGTGGCTGAGGGAAGTTTCGTTTGCAGGTCCAGGAGCGCCACTTCCAAGTCATCTCTTCTCCTCTCAAGCGTCTGTTCCTGCCTTTCCAAGTTTGCCTGCTCGCCGTTCCATCTAGGCTGCGCCGCCCCACTCCTCAGTTCCTCCAGTCTATCCAACTTCCCCGTCACATTCTTGTATGCATTGGTTACTACTTCCAGCTGTTGCTCAATGGACGTCATAGCGTGGTAAGGTAAAAGTTTTTAGCGTGGTAAGGCGCGGTTACAATAAAAAGATGTCTGCGCGACGTATTATTAGGAACTTATCGCTTGAAAAAGCGTTTGAGTTATAATTCGGACTTGATTGTGAGTTTTACGGTAGAGCGAAGTATCACTGATAAGCGTGATCAGCAGCAAGTAACTCGCAGAATATTTCAATAGCGAAAGTGAACATTTTGAGTGGGATTGTTATTTGATTTTGTAGATTATAAAATTATGCTTTCGATAACGGTTGCAATTCGATCGATTGTAATTTGATTTTTTAAGTGAAAACGTGGGTGAGATGGTGTTAATGTTCGTTTATGGTTTATTATTTTTCGTTCTTCTTGATAAATTTCATAGGTGATTTTTTCTTGATCTAGATATGCTTGGAGAGTTTGGGTAT